AACAAGAAGAAAAAAAAAAAGGGGGGGGGGGGGTGGAGGTAACATTGTTGTGGAGTAGTTGTCCAGGTGACTATCAGTATCACAAATTCACGATCCTCTTGTGACTCATACCAATTTCAATGTCGATATCAATCTTTCTCATTTCATGACGTAAAGGCAGGGGTAAGGAGAAAATTCACAAGCTTGATGTCTAACTTGGTACAGGTCGAGGCAACAGAGGCTGAAGAGCCTTTACGACAATGCTCATGTTTGGCCGGAAGTCAGCTTCATATTGCACACACAAGGCAGCAACTGCAGCCATCTGTTTCAGTAAGGCAGATAAGCGGAAACGATTGAATATAATGAAACATTTGATCTTTACACTTGTTCGGACGTCTTTTTGGTTACTAATTAACATAGTTGAGGAGACGAGACAGGAATCTTATTTCATTAGGCAAGAAAATTCTCCGTTTTGAGTGCATACCTTTGCAATTGCCTTTGGAGGGTAATCTGTATTTAATCTAGCATCAACACACTGCTTCACTTTATCTTCACTAAGTCTTGGCGTTGCCTGTTTACAACAGTGAATAACATCGATGACCAATCAAGAGAATTATTGAACAATGGTGAATTAGATGAAGCATTTGAGAATCTAGAAGGCTATACCCAAGTAACAAGACTCTGTTGCCCACGTGGCAATGTATGATCAACAGGTTTACGGCCAGTAAGTAGTTCCAGGAGCACAACGCCAAAGCTATAAACGTCACTCTTTGAACTCAACTGACCAGTCATTGCATATCTGCAACTCAAAAGTGATGGTGGGGTAGGTCATCAGAATAAAAGTGAAATATAATTGGGTATGACTTCAGAAATATGAGCTTAAAGCCTAACATTGCTTTCTGTTGCATATTAGATTAGTCGTGGGGAAGATCAGCTAAGAATATGTTAACCAAGCATGTGCTTATTTGTATTATACATTCACAGAGAGACTCACTCTGGTGCATGATAACCAAAGGTCCCAAGAACACGGGTGGAATGAAGACGTGCTGCCATATCAGGGGCTTGATTTGATAAATCAAAATCTGCGATCTTAGCAACATCGTCATCAAAGAGTAAAATGTTGCTAGACTTAATATCACGGTGAATGATATGAGGCTGTGCTTTTTCATGCAAGTACTCCAGTCCTTTTGCAGCCCCAACCGCAATTTTAACTCGTTGAGCCCATGACAATACTGGACCTGGCTGTGCACCTTTCACGCCTTTCCTTCCTGCAATCACAAACTAGAAAATTATGCATTTTGCTGCAATAACAAAATATGTTACAGAAAAACTGAAGAGAGCAGCCAAAAGTATAATTCCCAGTCCAAGCACTCTTTTTTTTTTTTTTTGAGAAAGGTAACATCAGTCCAAGCACTCTAAGATTGACATTATCTCTATCCATCCTCATAATACGCACCCATAACGATGTTTTAGCAGTAGCCATGATACACATTAACACATTTACTTGTTGAGACTACCACCATCAAGAGTTGTAAAAAAAATCTTGTAAAGAAAACGTGATTGGCCATGCACAGAGATATCAATGAGAAGTTCCAATTCTCTTCTATCAAATTGGCCATACATACAGACGAAAATAGACATCCATAAAAATATCAGAAACAGCAAAATACAGATGAAATGAATAAGGACCTAAATAAAACCCTGGTTCACTGAATGTTCAACTGACATACAACATGCTAATTACTAATAAATAAATTTTTCCCTTTGCATAACACCAACGTCACCATCTATAATTGAAATCTGGTACCGAAGTACCTGATGGGATTTTTTGTGTGCACATACATCATTGGAATACATACCTTGTGGTGCAATATTCTAACTTTGTGTACCGAGTATACTTTATCCTAACTTAGCATATACATTCAATTCTGTGAGGCCCCAATGTATAGCACAAATCTACAAGTCATAGCATTCTATACACAACTTTGGACTTTGATCAATCCGATTTACCGGTTGAATTTAAAGCAATTACACATACTTTTCCTCTTAACAACTTCAAATACTTTTTTTTATATATCATCAACAGAATATGAAATCTAACTGATCTCTTAATTTTGAGTGTTTCCATGTTAAATGAGAATTGAGATGGGGTATATTTTACAATGGAATCATATACAACAAAAAGCGAAAAGAAGAAAAAGAATTTGATGGTTCTTAATAAGCAAGGCTGTCTGAAGATATCTAGGTGCAAACTAACTATCATTTATGGCACTTTTCATGTCAGAGAATGCATTAGAAACGAACTTCAGAATTTGGGATGAAGCAGTGTTAACCACTACTAAAGGGCGCATTCACTGCAAGGTGCATTAATGAAGTTCTTAAAATGGAGTCTGAAATGTACTTTGACATAGTTGGATTGAATAACAATAATTTCCAAACACAAGTTACAGAGACGAGTTCTTTAGATTTGCTAAAATTTGACTCATCATGGATGACTCAACATGTTTTAGTGCTGATGAGAAGGTAGGATTAAAACATGGTTCCAGTACGGACAATAGCATAGTTCACATACCATGAAGAATGTCATGAAGAGATCCATTCGGGGCATACTCATAGGCTAGCACACGAAAACCGCCATCCACACAATAACCGAGTAATTCAACCACATTTTCATCTTTTAGTCTTGAGACCATTGAGACCTGCAATTGCATGCATCATATGCAACAAGGTTACAAAGGTTGAGTGCAATATAACATAGTCAAATGAAAGATAATAGGGTGTAGCTAACCTGAGCTAAAAATTCTCGATCAGGCTGCTTACTTGAGTCTAATTTTTTAATGGCTGCAGCACGTCCACTTTTCAGGACACCATGGTATACCCTTCCATATGATCCCTCACCTATCAAAGCTTTCGAACCAAAGTTATCAGTGATATCCTTTAACTCATCAACAGCGATGGAAGGAACAGCAATGGGCTGGATATTCACAGTCTGTGTCTCTCTTTGTGCACTTTCTGTGGCACGCTGACCTCCATTGTTGCCTATAAAAAAGTTCTCCAGTTAGGTAGGATTGAAATAAAAAATTATGGACTAAACAAAAGTTCCATGAACAAAAGCATGACATTAGATGAAGAAAGAGTCTAAAATGATAGGTAAAACACCAAAGCAATCTTTTTACTTGATCATTTATCAATTTACAAGGCTTCAACCGGAACTGACCACGAAAACATCAAATACAAGCATAATAAATGTTCGAGCTTCCAATTTACTGATACCCCAGTTAGGAATCCACTCCCCTATCCTTTTCCATACCCAAAACTAGACAACAATTACTACTGTGCCTCAACCATAAATTAGTTTGTTTAGCTGTATCAATCGTCTATATTCATTCCGCTCTATTTGGATCCATTCCCCGCAACACGAAAAAAAGAATCACAATAGATACCCAGAATGCTCAAGTATTCACCATAAGTGTAGAAGTCCTGAAATCAAATTCCACTACCATAACCTTTCCCTTACCCAAAACTAACAACTATTACTGCTATGCCTCAACGACAAACTAGTTAGCTATATCAATTGTCTACAGTTGGACTCATTCCCCAGAAAACGTTAAGAAAACAATCGGAAGAGATTCTCGATATAAGGACAAAACTAACCTGCTGAATTGTGTGCCATGAATGGCCCATTATCAGTAGCTCTGTGCATATCATCATCATCACAACAACTGAAGCAGCTCATAGCTCAGTCAACAAAATCTACAAAATACAACAACTCAAACAGTCCAAAAATCACAAAAATTGTCTCAAAACAAGGAAACACCACCACTAATCAGCAGTATAACAACCACCACACATTTCCAGATACTTACTGATCCACAACAAGCTGTGCAGTATAAGCTAATGACATCAAAAAAAAGAAAAGAAGTGACATTCTGTAAAAGCAAGAAACATTATAACATCCAACATACTCTAAAAAAATCTCACAACAAAAAAACGGGAAGTGTAATCCCAGCAAATAATCTTGAAAAAAACAAAAAAAAACAATCTTTTTCTTTTCTTGAAACTTGTAACTGAAAAAGGAACAATCTTTTCAACTGGGGTTCCATTTTTTTCCACAAAACTGAAAAATTATAACAACCCCATGATTTATATAGACACAAAATTGCAGAAAATCAACTCAACAACCCCAAATTTCACAAAAAAAAAAAGTAAAAAGGGGCTTTAAAATTAGAAGTTCTTACAAGATTCTAACCTTCTTGAAAGTGTGGGGGGTTTTGATCTGTGAACTGAAAGAGCAACAAAAGGAAAGAGAATAATCAAAAAACTCAAATCAATACGCAAAGACAAAAGTGAATATTTATTATAGGTTTTATTAGTCATAAATAGTATTCCCTCAGTACATTTCAGTTCTCTATAGTCAAATTAACTAATTTAAAAAATATATTATATAATTTTTTTTTAAAAAAAATAAAACATGACAAGTAAAATTGAAACGAATAGAAAAAGAAAATAGTGTAAGCTTAGTTGTTGCGTCTCTGTCATCCACCCTTTAAGCCTTGACTTGCTGTTTCTATACACATGCATTGATATGAATGATAAAAAGTGTGTGTACACACTGTTTTCTGTACATATAGAATGGAATAACATTAGTTTATTGTTAAAAGTATCTTATTTTAGATATTAGAAGAAAATAAGTATTTTTGAATAAGTAAATAGAATGACTTAGTTTATATATAAAGTTTTCAACAAGTAAAAATAAATTTTAAAAAATAAAATTTATAACAAAAAAACAAGTAAAAAAAAATTGAACTAAAACACAAATTTACAATTAATACAAATAAGAACACACATCTTGAGTTCGAGTATGAATATAATCGTATTAGAGTTGTTTCTTCCTTTATATTTTTTTAAGCATTCAAATTCAAAGTCGAATTAATTAGGATCTTGATATAGATATCAAATACGGACCAAAATAAAATTAATTTTTTTATAATATTATATATATATATATATATATCATGATATATTTGAAAAAGAAATTGAATGTTTAATTGAGAAGAAAATGGCGACCAATTCTATTTCTTTATCTTCTTCATCTTCACTCTTTCTCTCTCCTCTAATTCATCCCGCCGGCGGTAACATTCGTCGTCTTTTCGACTTCCGGCGGCCACTCATCGCCGTAATATGTTGCCGTGCTTCTTCTTCAGTTGCATTTCCGAAGAAAAAGCACTGGAAACAAGGGGAATACCCAGGATTCACTGAACAATCTGGTTTTAAAAACAATAAGAGAACGCCCATTAAGAATATTAAGAAAAAATTGGATAGAAAGAGTAATGCTAAAGCTTGGGTTAATACTATTACTGAAGCTCTTTCTGAGTATATTGAGAAAAAACAATGGGTTCAAGCTCTTGAGGTTAGTTTTTGCTAAAATCCCCTTTTGATTTTGCTGGTTTTGATATTGTTGTTTGTTTTTTTTCTGTGCATTGCTCAATTTTGTAAAACCCCTTTTGCTCTTAAACCCTTGTTATTATCTGGTTAAGTGTTTGGAAGCAATTGAGTGTGTAGATTTTCTGAGTTAGATGATGTAAGGCTGCTCAATTTCTTGTAAAGGTTCTTTTTTTATAGCTCTCTTGTTGATTGAGTAATGAGGTTTGCTGAAGTTAGTTTATAGGTGCAATGTTTGTGATGATTGAAGATGGTAAATGGGATCTATGTTGGTTGGACTCTTCGGAAATGTTAACGGGTGTGTGTTGGATTCTTCAAAAGTAGTTATTTTTGAAGGATCTAATACGGGGCGGAATCCTTTTTAAAGAGTCCAAGCAAACATAGAATGGAGTGAGGTAGAGCTGAAGCATAATGTGGGATTTTTGCTTTAAAAAACTTTAATATCTCAAAATCCATGTAGAGTTAGCTAGAAAAGCACAACGGAAATAAAGGAAGAGGCGATGTGCATAGTTAGATGTTGGTATCATACTTGTACTCCCTTTGTTTTCAATTTATTTGATTGGTTTTGACTTGATATGGAGTTCATTAAGAAAATAAAAAAGACGTTTGAGTGTTGTGGTTTTAGTCTTTGATTTCGTGGTTTGAAACTCGTCATGTGTGAAGTTAGAATTGAAAAGTTCCCAAAAAAAAAAAAGAAAATGAGACAAACACATTGGAACGGAGGGAGTCCTTTTCTTTCTGTCATACTTATAACAGTTTTGGTGCATGCTAGGAGTCTTCTTAGTCTAGTTAGAGACTTGGTGTATGGAGTTTATTCATGGTTGTGATTTTTAATCTTGGACTACACATACATATTTGTGCTTTGCGCTTTTGATAACACTGGTGAAAAATGAGATGCACTCTGATCGATATTGTTCAAAGCTGGAGTATTCACTTCATGCAGAGCCACCCTGAGTACCTTAAGCTCCTCATTTGGATAGATTTCACTCTCGAAAACATTTAAAAACCTGAACCTGGAGTATCACTTTTTCTGAAATATCAAAGAGCTCACTTGCAGTTTGTGCACATAAGTTGTCTTCAGACTCCCTATTCCCAAAAAATACAAAGGTAAATGGAAGGTTACCCTCTTTTTTTAAGTAATCTTACTGCATCTTATTGTTTTTTGGGCTTGCATTCGAATATTTCTTTTGTATAGAACTCCTTGGTGCTTTTATTGCTGATGTATTTGCCAATTGGATGTCTCTAACTCTCTTCTGTTTTTCTTCCCACTTCCAAGCATGAGGTTTAGATAATTCAATGCATTTTTGCCTCTAGGTATTTGAAATGCTAAAGGAACAACCCTTTTATCAATCGAAAGAGAGTACATATATGAAGCTTCTTGTACTTCTTGGGAGATGCGGGCAACCAGGGAAAGCACAACAACTTTTTGATACAATGATTGAAGAGGGATTGGATCCCACACCAGAATTCTATACAGCCTTGGTTGGTGCTTACTGTAGAAGCAACATAATTGACAAGGCATTTACGATTCTACAACGGATGATTGAGCTCCCTTATTGTCAGCCAAATGTTTATACATACAGTATATTAATTAAGGCATGTGTGGATGCATCCCGGTTTGATCTGGTTGACTCTCTTTATGAACAAATGGCTGAACGTTCCATAGTTCCTAACACTGTCACCCAAAATATAGTCTTGAGTGGTTACGGGAGAGCAGGGAAATATGAAGAGATGGAGAAAGTGCTTTCGGGTATGCTTGAGAGCACAGACAGCAGACCTGATATATGGACAATGAACACAATCCTGAGCTTATTTGGCAACAAGGGGCAAGTTGAAATGATGGAGAGATGGTATGAGAAGTTTTGTAGTTTCGGTATTGAGCCAGAGACACGAACATTTAATATCCTTATTAGTGCTTATGGGAAGAAAAGAATGTACGATAAGATGTCATCGGTGATGGAGTACATGCGTAAACTTTCATTTCCTTGGACAACATCGACTTACAACAACGTCATCGAAGCGTTTTCAGATATAGGGGATGCTAAGCATATGGAGTACACATTTGATCAAATGCGTGCTGAAGGCGTTAAAGGTGACACCAAGACTTTTTGCTGTCTCATTAGAGGATATGCAAATGCAGGCCTTTTTCCTAAGGTGATCAACGCTGTCCAATTAGCTGGGAAGTTGGAGATCCCTGAAAACAATTCCTTTTTCAGTTCTGTTATTTATGCTTGTGCAAAGGCAGAGGACTTATTGGAGATGGAGAGAGTTTTCAAGCGAATGAAAGATAAGGGATTCCGACCAGATGACACAACTTACACTGTTATGGCTGAGGCATATAGAAAGGAAGGAATGACAGACAAAGTCTATGATTTAGAGCAAGAAAAGCGGATGATGTCTGCCTCAGATTCCTGCGACAGCCAAGATAAGCTAGAGCTAATGCCTACTTGAGAACTAAATATGAAATTTAATTTAACAATGCATTGGAGCACCAAAGCTACATCTTCAGTGTTTTCAGCAGAGCTGTAGATTGATAAGATCACTCAGTTGTCTGCTTGGAGCGGGTAACTATCCTTGTCACCAAGTTTACGAGAAGGTGAATCTAAGCCTTGCACGAATGGATCACTTTTACTGTATCATTGTAAAGCTCAATCTTTTATCGTGTGGTATTGCCATGTTTGTTCTCTAACTCTGTATCAGGTGTGACTTCTTTTCCTAAATAGAGAGAGCTATTATGGCAAGAATGCTACATTCGATGTTCCAAGCAGGTTCTGCTGCCCTTTTACTTTTTGGTTTTTGCCTTTTACTGTTAAAATACCAATTCAGCTTTGACTATTGTTTATTATATGATGGATTCCTAGACTAGTTTTTCTCCATTTTTCTTATATCTGCAAAGCCTCTTGCTCATGGAGCTGTATTTTTCATTAGAGAATACAATCCAGAGCTGTATTAAGCTGTGTTTTTTCCCTGGCTAGCAAGATCCGGAGGGTTAGTGTCCTCTTAAGAAGGAATATCCAACTGCATTTGATGGATCTGCACGTCTGAGCCTCGACGTACAGATTCTATTTCATAGGTAATCCCAGACATAGAGGAAGCTACAAGCATATTAAAACAAAAAAAGCAGTTGGGGGAACACATAGTTCTTCTTCTCGTACTCAGAGATTCTCATATTTATGTTAGTAACAGTTTGCTGGCTGTGTAAGGAACAGATAACAAAAGCCACGACTAATCGAAAAGTTCTATCCTGTCTACAGCAGTCAGCAACACATAACAAAAGGCAAGATTTAATATCTCAATCCATGATATCATATTCCTCAAACTTTATCTTATCCAAGAAACTTAGAACAATATTTCTAAAACCACATTAAAAAAAGAACAAATATAAGAAATAAAAAATCAAAAGAAAAGGCGAAACAAAAGCCAACATGCAGCCTATAGTAAGCTTTGTCACATAAGGGATGAAACATTTATATTCCAGTTTAAGCTTCAGGCTTGTCCCACTTGAGAGGCTTAACTACTTCCCATGTGAAGTCAGGATCATCTCTACCAAAATGCCCATAGGCAGCAGTCTTCAAGAATCGACCATTGCCACCCCTCAGTAGATCGAGGTTAATGGAAATCATTCCGGGCCTGAAATCAAAGTTCTCCTTCACAATGTTGAGAATCTCCTTGTCAGGGATCTTCCCAGTTCCATAAGTGTCCACAAAGACGGACAATGGCTCAGGCACACCGATGGCATATGAAACCTGAACAATGCACCTTCTGGCAAGACCGTTAGCAACAATGCTCTTAGCTGCTTGCCTCACGATATAGGCTCCACTTCTGTCGACCTTGGTAGGATCCTTCCCAGAGAAAGCACCACCTCCGTGAGCACCCCAACCTCCGTAAGTGTCAATGATGATCTTACGGCCAGTGAGACCAGCATCACCGTGAGGTCCACCAATGACAAAACGGCCTGAAGGGTTGAGGTGGAAAATGGTGTTCTCATCAAGATACTTCTCGGGGATGACAGGCTTGATGACATGCTCTTTGAGATCACGAGCAATTTCATCATTGGTAACAGTCTCATCATGCTGAGTGGAGATTAAAACAGTGTGAACACGTAGAGGAACCATAGCACCATTGTCATTGTGATACTCAACAGTCACTTGTGTTTTACCATCAGGTCTAAGCCAAGAGCAAGTTCCATTCTTGCGGACCTCAGTAAGGCGAGCTCCAAGTTTGGTAGCAAGAACATGGCTAAGGGGCATCAACTCCGGTGTCTCGTCAGTGGCATAGCCAAACATGTGACCCTGGTCACCAGCACCAATCTCCTCAGGTCGCTTAGTCAAATGACCATGAACACCTTGAGCAATATCAGGGCTCTGCTGCTCAATGTTCACAAGGACTCTGCAATTGTCAGCATCCAAACCAACATCAGGGGACACAAATCCAATTTCCCGGCAAGTGTCACGTACAATCTTCTCATAATCAATATTGGCCTTGGTGGTGATCTCTCCAAAGACCATAACTAAGTTGGTCTTGGTACAAGTCTCACATGCAACTTTGCTTTCAGGGTCCTGAGCTAGACAGGCATCGAGCACTGCATCAGAGACCTGGTCACAGAGCTTGTCGGGATGTCCCTCGTTGACTGATTCAGATGTGAATAAGAAAGTCTCCATTTCTCTAAATCTACATGGACAAAGCGCATCATATCAGTAACCAAAAACCAATTCGAACAACGGAAATGACCATGGAAATAGACTCCATAAGTAAACCAAAGAGACACTGAGTATACTAAATTTGGCCAAAAACAATGTTTCATAATGCATCAACATAGGTAAGTAGTAACATTCAACGTATCATTAGTTTAAAATCACGCAATTCAAAAAGTATTCTTTAATTTCTCAAACTCCGTGCCATACAAGGAGTAATAAAGATTACTGGATCAAGTTAAAAAATGTAAACTTGAATTCAAAATCCCTCATAAAATTGAAACCAACACACAGAAATTAGCATAGCCTTTTCAAGTAAGACATACACATACAAGAAAAGAGCTAAAACAACATAGCAAAACATCAAAATAACATCTTTAAAACAGATCCATAGAAAACAACTCTTTTTTATAATAATTGTGATATCCAAACCAACTCTCGCATACCACATAACTCTATCAAGCTGACCCCTCAACTAATTAAGTTTACGAGATATCTGTCACCTTCTACCATACCACATAACTCTATCAAGCTGACCCCTCAACTAATTAAGTTTTACGAGATATCTGTCACCTTCTACCAACACTATATAGGAAGTAACTCGGTCAAGTTGTACCTTCAACTAATTTAAGTTTACGAGATACTCACACCTTCTACCAAAACCAATAGTAGGGTAACTTGTCAAACTGTCCTCTCAACTAATTTTACTTTTTTAAGTTCGTCACCTTCCATCAACAATAGATTCCAGGTAACTTAAACCTCGTGTTTCGGATACCATATAAAACAATTACAACTACTTAAACAGTACTATACATCATCAATCAATCAATCAAACATATTTATAAACATATACATATAGAGAGAGAAAGAGGAGAGAGAGAGAAATTGACCTTTGATTGAAGTAGAATGTAGTGAGGAGGAGAAGGGCAAGGGAGAAATGAAATGAATGAAGAGCTTATATAGAAAAATGAGAGAAATCCCCCTTTGACATAAATTAGGGCTACATTCATTTTCGGGTCATTTTTGGTAATCGGGTTTTAAATCAACGGCTCACAATCAATTTCGGTTTTCTGGTAACCGTTGGATTAAAAATATAAGAAATAAATCGTCGGTGGATCTAATATATACTGCTATACTTATTACCTGTCATTCACTATCAACCCACACGGTTTCGCCCTCGTTTTAATCACATAAAATATGTTATATTTTTCAAGAGATACACAATATTTTATATATCAATTTATGTGAAATTTGTCACGTAAAATGTGTGTTTACTTGATTAAAATTAATGATGAGATATATTAATTCAATCGCACGAGATTTATCACGTAAAATATGTGTGTGTTTTAGCACACTCAAAATTTAGTAGTTGCTTGATGCGAAAATCGTTTTCGTTTTATATAAATATCCCATCAAAAATTGAAAATGGACATTTTTATTTTTTTTAAAACGTTAACATTAATATTTCAATTCACGTTAAATTATACCAAGTTTAAGAAGATTGGTCAAATTTTTTTTTATATATACATATATAGTAATTATTGATCTCATTTGCCTTTTTCGTATATTTACTTCTTTATGTTCTGAAATTTTGAATTTTTATTTTTTTAAAATCCTAAATACACGATCGCATTTATTAAGCAATCGTGATTTTAAAATAATGATGGTCAATTTGTCCATTTTTAATCCTAATGGAAGTTCTTGTCATAAATAATCAGTAATAACTGATCAATCAGTCTTACATAATCCATGAATAATTAATTAATTAAGCAAGTACTTAAATTAGCAATACATAATAATAATTTGAAGATTCTACATGTTTATTCTCAAATATAATATTTTGAGAACCCCCATTTATTTATTTTTAAAACATCAATGGTTTGAAATAAAATATTACCTTAAACTTTTGGCACCTTTCTTGATCAAATTTAATAATGAATTAAATAATTAGGAATAATGCATGAATTTGCATAATTTATCTTAAAAAAATCACCCTCTCATATTATAATAATAATAACTATATAAAAAAAATTGTGATTGGATTTGGGACCCAAATGGTGAAATTTTTTTTTTGTATGAATTAAATATGTTACAAAAAATATGTTGTATATTAAGATTTGGTAGGTAGAAATAGGTTTAAATATTTTATAATAAATATAGTGTACACAAAGTTAAAACATCATTTTCACTTTTGATTTTGTAAAGTACAACTAAACAATTAAAAACCCCACCAAATAAAACCCAACAACCACCACCTAACATCAAATATTTTTCTGAGAGTCGAGTTTCTAAAACTAATATAATAAATTATAATCATGAATGACAAGTATATATTTTTTTACGATAAAACAAAAATATTATGCCTTAAAACCTCGGTATGACCATGAACAACACGTTCAGCAAAGTAAAGCGCTCAACACGTTTTGAGCCTTACTTTAGGTATTGCTGACAATCCTGAACAATATATGAAATAGTTACTGTCTCTTTTACCAGGTACTAGAAAACTCAAATTTCTTTAAAATGAGGCAAATAACGAAAAGAAAGTTACGTAAGTGACATTTCAAGTTCATTATATCCTCCGCAAGTATGAGGAAACACCATAAAGAATGTCCAATTTGATAACAACCAACTTAAATGAAACAATTAATACAAAATAAATTAGGAAAATTGGAAGGCAAAGAGATTTTCCAGGACAGAAGCAAGCTAGCAACAGATCTTCAAGTGACCATCTTCTGTTCCAACAACAAAGAGCCGCGAAAAAGGTAAAACACTGATACTTGATAAAACAGACACGTTCTTTGATTCACGATCACCCATGTAGAGATACTGAGGCGCGACAAGTTGCTGAACGTCCTGGCCACGTTTTGTTTAAAAGCCAGTAAGATGCAAATTACAACCAGTAAAACAAGTAGTGATTCTTAAGCATTGTTTTCCAGAGGCAAGGAACAAACTTTGAAAATGAGCCACCAAAGTCCACAGAATAACTGCTAAAAGAAGTTTTTGATAACAAAATGTAATAGAAATCAGATGTGGACTTCTCATCTAGCTCTAGTTGGGCAGATGTTCGAAACTCTAGGGTGTCAGGCTCAATCCTCTACTCTCCTCCCAATTTAAGCGTACCAAGCTTTCTCCCTAGCTTGTTTTGTACACGTGAAGTGCATCTAAACCCGAATATCATGTGTCGTGTCCTCGGTTTACCATATTCTGCAGCTAGTATACTTTTCATAAGCTATGTTTGCACGAAAATAGTGACCAGAGAAGGGTATGCTCTGCTACTTAACGACAACCTCTAGAAAACATTCAACTAATAAATAGTAATACTGTGTAAACGGTCAATCTCTCGTTTTCTAATGGTCATATGATTAGAGTTCATTCTGAAAAGAGAACACTCCAACTCTCATCCTATAAATATTTTAATAGTGCACTCCTCGTGCACAAAGGAGCCTACGAAACAAAATAGAAGATCTAACTTCTATATTAGGTCTATACACGCAGCTAAGATGTTAAACTCGGAGAACAATGTCACCATCTCAAAATTTTCCCTTTTATATTTATTCACCTATGCAAATGGCATTTCATATCCTTCGTACATCTATCTTAACAGAATTAATATGGTGCTGCAATACATGGTAAGTTGTCTGACAATCAGTAATTAGGCACCAAAAGCAGATTCTAGATTCTATAGGAATATCTCGGTTATACTAATAAGATACTATCTTCTGTGCAAGCAGACAGAATATACAAACATCTGCGGAAGTAGAACAGAAGTGTGTAAAAAGTGAAAAGATACAGGCAAGGATACTTACTTCATCAGAAGAACAGGCCAAAGAAGAAAGCCCAATTTTACTGCGGAAAATTGAAATCACATATTGCCCCCAAATGGAGAAATCAGAAACACCATCAGTGTGACCTCTAGAAGCCAAGGGTTTTGATTTCCAATTTCTGCGATATAAAATAAAGTAAGGAAATGAAAAAAAAATCTCAAACAACAAAAAGCTCAGTAATGGCATTGAGTAAACATCACAAAGACCAAGGAATGCCAGATTGTGCAATTAAATTTGTTCCGTAATCCCCTTGTGGGTTTCATCTCTGATATGCAGGAGGAAAAGAATCCTTTATAGTTGAGATTTTTAAACTAAATCACTTGATAAAACACTCAACAAATTTATCACGGATCTGCACATATATACTAAATTTATAATAGACAGCCACTAACTTATTATCGTGCATGGTTGGCTTTGTGACGGGCAGAAAATAAGACGTTTGGTTATCTCAAACCTGAAACTTTCTCAATGATAACTTAGAAAAAAGGATATGGAATTGAAACACAGACCATATTATCATATGCCTTGAGTACACTATCAAGAGTAGAGTGCAACAACTTTTACTGGAAATGAGTTATTGTTCGATGAATTTAAGCTATGCAGTTTACTAGAGATAAATTACTGTTGAATGAATTTAGCTATGCAGCAATTTCCACTCTGGATAAACAAACTATATATATGCTTATCTACAAGGTTGTAGTCACAGATAAGATGTCGCATTATCTAGCCAGGAGAGGATGAGCCTAATCTTACTATCCCCATTTTGTGGGAGCTTAGTTTCTCCATATTGCTAAGCTTAAGAATAAATGTATAACACCAAAGTGACCTTCTCAAGTCCCAAATCTTTAAGGTGCGGTCATGAGAGCTTGAAACCAGCAAATGCTCTTCCGATGTGGCTATCTGCAGGCAGCGAGGAAGCAAAGACACCGGAGTAAGTAGAACCTTTTATTTCAATCTACTGGAAGCAAAAGTCAACTCTTACCTTAGTGACAAAACCATCATGAGCTTGCCATGAGGAAATAATTTTGCCACTCCTCACATCAAATAACCTGCAATGCCCAGAACTTTGTCCAGCAGCAACCCAAGATGGATATTGAGGATTTCCGCATTGCTGTTTGGTCGAAGCACTTGAGCATATAGATGATATGAGAGAAGGAAAATTGGATTCAGTTGCTTCAGTCCTCCATAAATGAAGTTTTTGACCTTGTCTGACATCAATGAATCTGGATACAAAGTAGACGACCAAATAAACCAAGTAAGAGATGTATCAGAATCAATTTAAATCTAACACAACTCCAGAAAGCACTGACCTGAGAGATCCATTTCCAGTACCCACTACAATATTGTCCAGATATTCTGAGTAATACATACTAGTGTATAAATTACCATCAGTGTTCAATATTCCACCGGACAATGGATTAAAATGTAGCATATTAGCCTGTTCCACATTCAACTTTGAAGCTTTTGGTAAAGAGCTTGTATGATGCACAGAACTCGTAGAAAACTCAGCAAACACAGATATCAGCTTCCCCGTTTGGCCATTCCATACATGTACTGTCCCATCACAGGAAGCTACCCTTCCACTTGATGCCAAAAGAGAAATGTCGTTCACAACCTGTAAGGGAGAGACAAATAAATGAATAGAACTTTCACTAGTAAATACTATAATTATTAGAGAATTTATTAGAATGTAGTTTCAAGGTACAGAACCAACTCATGCTAGGTAAGTATCATGTTCAATTCGTCTCACAAAGAACAACAAGAAGATAACAAGTTGCTAGGCACAACATTATGATGAATGCCCCCAACTTGATAGCAAAACAGGAAAATGAGTTCGAAAAAAAGAATAATGTAACAAACAACAGATAGATTAGCACACCTCCTCATGGCCATAATAACCAGATACAGAATCAATTCTTGACAACTCCCACTTTTGAACAGTTCCTTTGAATCCTGGAGCAACTCCAGCAGTGAAAAGATTGCATTCATCTTGGCAGACTGCTATAGACCTTAGCAATCCTTGATGTGCTCTAACAGAGTGCAGAACTGATGCTTTGATTTTCCATGGAAGTTCATCCTTTGAACCACCAGGACGGCCAATAAAATCAGGGCCACTCCAATTAGCAGCTGGACTGGGGAACCAATACCAGGGCTCAATCCTGCTAAAATCTGAGCCTCTTGCATTCCTATCAGCAGAATCCTGATGTTGACTGGACGGATGTCTGTTGATCATAGGAGGTTTGGCACCCTTTTTTCCTTGTGATTGAGGCGTTGACCACCCTAACCCATTCAGCAACGTATCTGGAGTATGTTTAGATGTTAAGCTCTCACCATGAGTCGGCTTTCTAGCATATATACTAGATGGACCACTTCGAGAAGATTCCCCTGTGGATTCCCACTGAATCATGACATTTCAGAAATTGACAAACAACGATAAAGGGCATGCAAGGGAAAAGATATAGTTTTTTTTTTGTAAAGGTAATAATTTTTTAATGCAAAAGAGCACCCATGGTGCTACAAAGAAAAATATATAGTTCTACACATGCTATATTTAAGTCATTGGGTCTTGCTCCGAATCAAGAGCCTGTTTGGATTGGCTTTTCATCTTTTGACTTATAAGCCAAAAGCCATAGATTAGAATTACGTGTTTATAAGCACTTTTTTCACTTACTCAAACACTCCAAAAGTGCTTAAAAGCTATTTTTAGCTTAAAACAGTCAATCCAAACGGGCTCTAGGTCACTTCGGATGAGCTTTACCTGATGGAATGGATCTCCTGAGAATACTCAATTGATCTATGAGCTTAAGCTAGTTTCATATTTCTTATTTGTCAAATTGATTGTGTGACGCGGCACCCTAGAGTCTATTTTAGTATTCCATCTTGATTTTGATAACCATTTGAGGCAGTCATTACTTATTACCAAAGTTGGCATGTTAATGTGTAGCATATAGAATTTGTTCCTCTCCAACTTAAAATCTTATTCCAGGAAGTATTAGGAAACAAACCTTCCAATTATAACGGCGTAGAAGAAACTGCTCTAGTAGCAACCATGTGGCACAACATTGGCGAAGCTTCTCTATACCAAGAAGAGATGCAAATGATGGATATAAAAGCATCCTACATACAATAAAGCTCATAAATAAATAAGAAAAATAATAAGACGAGGGAATCCTATCCAAAAACAAAAACGAGACCCACACAAGGTCCAAACGGCTTGTAATTTTGTTCTCATCTTCCTTCTTGGTATTGGGACCTCGAAGGCTTCCTCCCTTGATGCTAGAATGACCTGCTTTCTCCTGGGAGAAGGCAAGCTCATCAAAAAGTTTCCTGAGTTTTGGAAGGACGTGCAACGCTGTTAAGTCTGATCCAATTTGCTGGCAAAGAGCTAGCAGATTCCTTGCAGCACCCTTGCATGCAAAAGAATACCATCATCTACATAGATAACAAGCATAAAACATCAAGAAATAAAGAAAGAGTCTGGAATTTTCACTTGAACCTCCAGATATTTCTAAGAATAGAAAAAAACCTTTCATAGTTCTCTATAACCGCAAAAAATATAGACCATAACTAAGGGAGGATTTTGTAACTTTAGTAACCATGCTCCCTATATTGCCAATAAAACACAGAGAGTATCACAGTGTCACTTCTCTCAGAAAAATGTACTACGGAAGTTCAATACTATTAGCTTTTAAAGTAGGAAGCTCGATACAAAATCATGACAGCTAAGGACATTAAAAATCCATATACAAGATCTTCTAAAAGCTTGACCTGAACATTCACTGTGTTCAAAAATCCAGGGAGATGAGTATTTCTGATGCTAGCAGGAGCACGATTGTTGTATTATTTGGTCCAAAAGTAATGGGCATAAGGAAATGTTTGAGAGCTAAACATGATCATAGGGAGTGAGTTCTATAATTTGGGACATAAAATCTGGAAAGTATTCTCTATACAATTTTATTTCATCAAATGTAGCTCACTAGTTTAAGAAAGTGCAGGTTTGTACCAGAGGTTAAGAAAGAACAGATCCCAAGAGAAAAATTGGAAGAGAAGTGGAGATACCTCGAACACCTGAATTCCTAAGTTGGTCTGCATGAGAACTTGCAGATATAAGAATTTTCCATCCTACATAAGTATTTCAACACATTACTAACTGGAAAGTGAGTGAAATTTTAGTGAAATTAAAATTAATTGGAAGTGAAAATTGAATTTCATACTTCAACAAGCTCCTTAACAAGCACCTCCCGGGTCAAGGAAGCAGTGAGACCATCTAAAGTCATTAGAGTGTCAATTAGGGCCAAAGCACTCCAACTCTGTGCAGTTTCATGCTTATTTGCAAATGAATTGTCAATGCACGAAGTGATGACAATTCTTAGTAATGGTAGAATCTGTTTGACTATGAAATCTTCTCCAAAAAGACTACCTGAAAGATAAGAAACATCTAGTTAGGTTGCAAATCAGAAGCATAATTTGTGAATCAGAACAAAGGTCTACACTACTGAATTTATCATTACCAATTCTAACTAAGACATCAATTCCATCATCACTGAGCCCTTTGCCAAAGCAGTGAAGGAGAGGTAAAATTGTCTGGCAAGAAACCAAAATGTCAGTCATACAACATGAGAATAACCTTTCAACAAATTCACATTAAGTGTAGGTACTTCCACCTATCAAAGATATACAGGGGAGGGGAAAAGTGGTCGACTACAACCTGATGAACAGTAATTGGAATACCAAGTTCCTCACTAGACCCAATCAACAGGACAGAAGCAGCAGCAGCAGAGTTCTTGCAAGGAGTACCGTGTAAGTTTAATACCACAAATGGGTGTATTGTCTCCACATATGCTTGTTTACCAATCTTGTTCCATATATCCAGCACAAAGGAACCTTGGAGAAGAGACACCTTCAAATATGAAGGACCAGTCCCCTGATAGTAAGAAACATACAGTAGGTTTCAGAAGCAAAAGCCGAGGAGATAGACAGATCACATATTTAGACAGTAGTTAACCTGAAGAATCTTCTGGATAGCAGGTACGACTAGCTTCTTTACAGCTTCTGGATCTAGACACCTCAAAAATTCTGTAAGTACTATGCAACCCCATTCAGCTTCCGAATCTGATAAAGGATTCAAGACTAATTTCAAACAGTTAGGAGCACACATTTCGGCAGCAAATGTTCCCATTGCTTTCAAGGCTCCCTGTTGAGCAAAAGCTGCAGCATAATGAAGTCGTGATTCATCTTTTGCTATAAGTTGAAGGGGGGCAAGAAACAAATAGGATGACTTGATTGTTGCTAGAAAATAAGGAGAGTCCAAAAGACATTTGGCAGTAGGCCTCCTAATTAAAGAAAAAAAAGAACAGTTAGTTTTGGATGGTTCCTTCTCTTCTGCAGATATCGACACTAAATAAGGAGTTCAGGAAGTAGCAAAAATGCAAGCTTTTAAAAGATGGAAAAGTGAATACAGAACTATACCTCCTCCAATCCTTTTGGATGCAGGATTCAACAACAACTTGAGCGTCAGGGGGAAGCTGTTGTACTAAAGAAGGTAAGACACCACTCTCTAAGTACACAGCCATAGAGGTTGGATCAAAAAGTGGCCTACTCAAGTGGAGTTCTGCTAAGATACAGCCAACTGCAAAGATATCATTAGCAAAATCTTTGGAATAAATGTGTGAATGGGAACATTTCTGCTTCCAAAGTAATAGTGCTTGATATCCCACAGATACATCATCACCCACTTCAATATTCCTGATAAGGTAATTAACATCAATAGCAGATGGCATAACAGAATTGGTGCTAGAGCCAGTTTTTCTGGACATAATATTATCTAATGTTTTAGTTGATAGGCCTTTCCCAGGTGAGTCAAGCTCTTCATGAACATCTGGATGCAAGTTGTAGATAGGATCCAAACGAGGTGCATGCTCAGAAAACACAGCTGCTTGTTCTAATTCATACAAGAATGAAGTTTCAAAAGGCAGAGCATGCTCAGTCAAATCACTTGTAGAGAACTGATTCATTTCTGCTTCACTGGTCTTGGCCAGCCGCCGAGGAGGATGTGGTTTAGTAAAGAGTTGGCGGCGGCCCACTGACTTCGGTTTTGTAGGAGCAGATGAGGGCAGCATAACATTTTTGGCAGCAACAGCAGCATCACCGCACAATTTGTAGCCAAAAGTGATGTCAATCCAATGATGTAGTTGGTGTGATACCCTATCGCTTTCTAAAGCATCTCTGTGCAACTTGATGAACTCCTCAGGGGTTCCAGCCCATGAAGGCACAGCTAAATCAGACATCCCAGAATGTATAGAATAAAATATCTGGGGATCACAAAAAAATTCCGGAATGCACTCATCTGGTGTCCATTGATATAGTCTTTGCATAGTAGAAGGATATTCATTAGGTTCATAAACTGAACGAACAGCCATCCTCAGAACAGCCAAAGGCAACCTCCTTGCCTTATAACTGCAGACAGCCAGCTCAGACAGGCACTCATCTGATATATGATGAGGAATTTCAGATGTCGAATATGTGAAGTCCAATTGCTCGTCACCCTTTGCCAGCCGCCACTTGCTTTTAGTTAAATCTCTCCATCCAGTGTCATTATTCTCATCAGGTTTCACACTAAAATCTATGACCCATGGCATTACAATATAAAAGGTGTTATCACCCCATCTTCTCCCGGCTAATTGGTTTAAGAGTAACAGATATTCGAAGTTACTTATTTCACCCCTCCACCAAAGTTTAAAGCTAGAATACCAATCTGTAGACTGGGAGAGGCTTAGATCAGCATAAAGACCTTGTAAAGGGCACCCATCAAAACAGCAACTAACTCCTGAATCACAACTACCCTCTATTTTGGAAATTGAAACAGAACTCTGGAGGAACTTACTACAAATGGGTAGCCAACACCATAAGGAATCAACCAATGATATATTGGATGGACAGACATTACCATGGAAAACACCTAAACCATGCATGTATGCTAATCCTGATAGTATCTGGAAGAGTAAATACCGCATATGCCAGTCAGACTTTAAGGCACCAGGGCTAAAGTGAAGAATGTTTTCCAAGGTATGTGGCATTTTTGGAAGCAACAAATTAAGTTGACCAGAATTTTTTAGCATTCCCAAAGTTGGAGAAATGTTTGGATGCCTTATGCAGCCAGGAAGTTGTTCTTCACCAAATGATGGGATCCCCACTAAACTAAGAAAGTTCACACTCTCCAATCCTGATCTTTTACCTTCTATCATGAGAGTAAGAGAATTTAAAACATGATCTTCAAGTGATCCAGACAAGAACTCTGAAACAATACCTTCAACAAATGAAGATGAAGAAATCCCAATCCGAGCAACTGGAGCCAGGGCAGACAGTGTCCTAAAGCAAGAAAATGTACCAGAAAAGTTACAGGTCACATTTTGACAGGCTAAGCCATATAGGGATTGATGTCTGCCACCATTCTGCAAATCTTCACATTCAGATGATCTAGTTTCTAAAGAAGAAGTTTTATCACTGGAAAGTCCAACACTGACCTCAGTTTTAACCTGATCAATCGCCACCGGGACTTCACACCCACTGCCACTATTCGTTCTGGCTTCAAAATCTTCCAAATAATGTTGATCACTACACAGAAGGGCAGCAAGTTGTATAAGATCAATTGGGACCACTATGTATCAAAAATGTACAAGTTGTCTTTTTAGTTTCTTTTTGCTTCCTCTTGATAAGTGAGGCTTGCTCAAGTGGTTTAGCACCTCCACCATCGACCAGTGGGTTGAGGAGTTTGAGTCACACGTGGAGAGTAAGTGGGAACACTATTCATGGTCAAACACCCCTTAAGGTTCTTTTTCTTTCTTTGCTTTCACATAGATAATAACTTCCCCTTTTTTTCTCCCAAGTGGGGTGGGAAATGCAAAGGAAAACAAAAGATCATACATGTAATTTTAGCCAAGAAACCATCTTTATGAAGAGGCCTATATGTCAACAGAAACTAGGGAGGGTAGAGTGTAGGTAGAGAGGCTATTTCCCTCAGCTCAACGATAGCTATAAACACCACATAGATAATAAAGTTCTCTTTTTTCTCCAAAAGGGGGTTGGAAATGCAAAGGGAAAACACAATACCTCACATGTAATGAGCCAAGAAACTATCTTTACAAAGAAGCATATACATTAGAAAAAACTAGGGAGGCCTACCTCCTACCTAAGAAGTAGAGATGCTATTTCCAATAAACCCTCAGCTCAACCAAAGCTATAAACATCACATACAAAATAACTTCCTTTTGTTCTCCAAAAGGGGAATGGAAATACAAAAGGAAAAGCACAAGATCTTACATGTAACTAGCCAAGAACCTATCTTTTACGAAGGGACATATATGTTAGAGGTAGAGGGGCTATTTCCAATAGCCCCTCAGCTCAACGAAAGCTATAAACATCACATAAACAATAATTTCCTTTTGTTTTCCAACAGGGGATTGGAAATACAAAAGGAAAAGCACAAATCTTACATGTAATTAGCCAAGCAACTATCTTTACACAGGGGCATATACTTCAGCAGAAACTGAGGCAACCCTTCTCCATTTGAACTTGATGTCTGCAAAATTAACAACTCATACAATCACTAAAAAACATCCAAAGAACTCATCTTTCTATGCTTATAACAAAAGGGGTTGTTCTTTTTTCCTTTTTTTAAGTAAATGGTACCTGAACAATAGCAGTAGAACCAAAGGGAAGAGGTGAATTAGAAACACCATAGCAGAAGATGAGTTGGTCAGAGAAATCTGATTGAATTCGACGCTGTAAACACTCAAAGCACATTTCTCTTTCCATATTCTCAAATTTTTCACTACAGATTTTGAAGTTTTTTCATCAAATCACTGAAGAAAGAGACTACAAAAACTTTCTTGATTTTCCGACTATACGATGTTTTTTCCAGCAGTTTTTCCCCGGCCTTCCGGTTGCCGGACAAGTTAGCATGTAATTGTTTTTTTGGAGACCATATTGCAATTTGTAAAATTTAATCAATGAAATTAGAAGAAAAGAAATAGGGAGAAGAGAAAAGACTTCGTATTCCTTTTGAAGAATATTCATGATTCATAATCTTTTACCATTCTTCTTTACAATGAAGAAAAATCCTTTATGTATAGGGAAAACTTTACTTGGTCCCCAAGTAGGACTCCTAACCATATCCAACAAGGACTCCATACAATTGGACATTCACTATAACACAAATTGTTTATAACACTCCCCTTGAATATCGATAGATTATGTGCCTCGTTAAAACCTTACTAGATAAAACCCAGTGGGAAAAAAATCTAGTGAAGGAAAAAGAGTACACATATCTAATAATACGTTATAGATGCCTCCTTACAAGGAAAATCCAGTGGGACAAAACCTTGTGAGGGAAAAAGAGTGCATCGTGTATTAACTCCCCCTTATGATAACATCAATTCAGAGACTAGAATCTTTATTTTCCAAGCGTGTGCATCATCTTCTTGAAAGTTGTAGTTGATAGAGACTTGGCGAATAAATCAACAATAATGTTACTTGAACAATACCTCTTGCATGTTGATATCACCATTTTTGGGAGCTTATGAGTATAGAAAAACCTTGACGAAATATGTTTTCTTCTATCTACTTTTATGAATCTTTCCTTCAAGATCAAAGATTTCTGCAAGTTCCTTACTTAAACTTCTTCAAGCAAATAATCTATTGCCTTTTGAAAACTCTTCAAGAGTTTCAATTCTAGTTATCAACTTGCACAACAATATTTGTATATGCTTCATGCATTTTGAATCGATTTAATTCTTACAAAGATTATAAACAAGTTCTCCAAAAACTTGCACATACTTTAGATTTTGAATCCTTCGTGACTTTTCATATTAATTTTGTCAAGTGATAACATTCAATATTAAATGTATGATATATTCTAGTGACTAGATTGCAAGTCAAATAAGCTTTACGCTTACCAATATGCATCATTTCACTTTTCACTTGATAATTATTTCTATACAAGTATGCTTTAATAGATGTAGAATTCATATCCTCATAATCTTTTACAATATTGCGCGCTATTGTATCAAAGATATCGTCAAC